GTGTATGTGTGTGTGTGTGTGTGTGTGTGTGTGTGAAAAAAGTAAGACAAACAAACAGAAGCAACAGAGGGAAAGTAATAAAAAGTAGGACCTACCAGCAGTGCCCTCCAACCATTGGCACACATTTCATCCTTTCTTACAAAATCAACTCATCAAAACCATGTTGCCAATAAATTGGAGCTACAAACACAACACAACATGATGGTGTAAGAGCACACTAAAAAAACGGATGATTGTAACACAAAATAACAGCGTAAGTTTAACTCAAAAAGATGACGTTAAGTTCGTTGTAAAAACCACAACAAAGAAATATAGACAAAATATCGAAGTTCTTCTTCTGCTTCTATCCCGTGGTTGGGACAACCGTGAGGACACCACTGCATCTGAAAACCAGCTCTTGCCATTTCTCTTTGTCCTCTGCTTTCCTCAGATGGTCACCCATCATCTTCCCTGTCCACTCTGTGATGTTGTCCTCCTATCTCCTTCTCTGCCTTCCTCTCTTTCTCTTTCCTTGTACGGTTCCTTGTAGGATTGTTTTGGCAAGTCCTGTGGATCTTGTGACCTGCCCATACCATTTTAATTTTCGTCTCTTCACTGTGGTGAGTAGATCTTCATGCTGCCCCCGCCTGTTCCGTACCTCAGCATTTGAAATAGGATATGCGCATGCGATATCTAAGTTAGTTAACACAAAATGCTGATGAAAGTTCAACATAGAACCACAACTAAGAAATAGACAAAATTACAGCATAAGTTAATTGTGACACCGCATAAAAGAAAACAACAAAATAACAACAGAATATAACCTAAAATAATGACATAAGTCAAACACAAAACGACGACGACGTACTTTGCACGACTCATTGGTCCACACACTCTGGTTCCTGTCCCAGACCCTGCAGCTGTCTGTGTACACAAGCAACTTGTACTCATCTACGCCCTCTGCAACATGCCCCATCACAGAATTACGAAAAGAAACAGAAAGTGCAAAGTTGCTTCTCTCTGAAACATGCGCTATCATAGAATCAAGAAAAGAAACTTAAGGCACAATGTCGCTTCCATCTGCAATACAACATCACAGAATTAAGAAAAGGAACAGAAGGCACAATGTCGCTTCAGTTTGCAACACACATCATCACAGAAGTAAAGAAAATGAATAGAAGGTGCAATATTGCTTCTACCAGCAACATGCACCATCACACAATTAAGAAAAGAAACAGAAGATACAATGTTGCTTCTGTCAGCAACATGCACCATCACAGAATTAAGAAAAGAAACAGAAGGCACAATGTCTCTTCCATCTGCTTAATACACCATCAGAGAATTAAGAAAAGGAACGGAAGGCACGATGTTGCTTCCATCTGCTTAATGCACTATCACAGAATTAAGAAAAGGAACAGAAGCCACAATGTCACTTCAGTTTGCAACACACATCATCACAGAAGTAAAGAAAATGAATAGAAGGTGCAATATTGCTTCTACCAGCAACATGCACCATCACACAATTAAGAAAAGAAACAGAAGATGCAATGGTGCTTCTGTCAGCAACATGCACCATCACAGAATTAAGAAAAGGAACAGAAGGCACGATGTTGCTTCCATCTGCTTAATGCACTATCACAGAATATAGAAAAGGAACAGAAGCCACAATGTCACTTCAGTTTGCAACACACATCATCACAGAATTAAGAAAAGGAACAGAAGGTGCCATATTGCTTCTGCCAGCAACATGCACCATCACACAATTAAGAAAAGAATAGAAGGTGTAATATTGCTTTTAAATTAATGCATTAAGTAGTTAAAAACCCACTTGAGATGTTAATGTGACTTTACAAAGTTGTGCATTTTTCTAAGGATAGAATTCATCGACAAGTAGCCTACAACATTCCTCACCTTACTTTCTAAGAATGAGTGTGGTAAGAATATAACGGCTAGAATTTTTCTACCTTCTTAGGAATGTCATCTAGAGCAAACATACTGTTTAGTTTAAGTCTCCTTCATTCATCATTGTGAAAAGTGAATTATGACAGAGTCATACATTGAGCAGTCAAAATGAACAGGTCTAAAGAAATGAGGAATGGGGAAAATTAATCACCAAAAGGCCTTAAAACCCTTTCCTGTTAACATTCTTCTCTCACAATGGCCTCCCATTTGTTCAACTTCCTGTGCACATAGAAACTTCTTGTATTCACATTCTTTTGCACTTAGCAAAAGTAAAAATAAATAGTGACTGTTTACGCTACCTCTGATACGCCTTCCTTTCTTGAAATATGTCACAACGTGGTGGAATCTGGCGCTTGACAATTTTGGGGCATATGGAGTTATAGGCATCATCTTAATGCCTGTCCCTTTGCCTTGCTTTTGATGTTAAAAATTTCCATTTGTCTTAGATACAAGTCGAGCTATTGGCGATTCAAGGAGGTGGGGGTCGCCTGGTTTCAGAGGTAAAATTAGCGAGAAAATGGCCACCAAAGTTGAGTTATTTCCTTAGCTTGAGAGTCCGGGGAAACTAAAAATTTACATCTTTTATTTCTTTAATCATAGTTTTTCAGTAAAATCCAGACAGAAATGTGTTCTTTAATGGGCATGCTTGAAAGGTATAGAGCCAAAAACAAAAAATTCGATAAAAATTCCCAAACCTGCGGAAAAATGCCAGTTTCTTGACTTTCATTATTTTGAAGAGCGCCTGATTTCACCATGCTGTCTCATAAATGACAACAAAGTATCTGCTATTTTCATCATAGATAAAGTAATCAGTGAGGAAATCTTTTTAAATCATAACCAAGGTTATTATTGTGAAAATCTTTTTATCATAGTTAAGTTTATCATTGAGGAAATCTTTTTATCACAACTAACACATTATCATTGCAAAAATCTTTTTATCATAGCTAAGTTTATCATTGAGGAAATCTTGAGGGAGAAACACATTGTGTTTGTGGCCAGTTTGGCTATGGTCAACGCTAGTGCTGCATTTTTAAAAAAAATTTTTGTAAAAGTTTTACGGCACATGCAACACAATAAGGTTATAGAAGTGCCGAACATTAGATGTGTTACAAGGGAGTAACAAACACAAAAAAGAATGTGGAGAGAAAAGGACGAAAGATGTTTGATAAGAAACAAGGAGCAAACCACACCAGAGCACCCGCCAACCATACACGTTACATTTTTTACATCGAGTGTTGACAGACAGTGTTGATCATGAAACATTCACAAGCCAAGCACTAACCAGGAATAGCCAAGCCAGCATAGATGAAGCCTCTCTTGAAGGTCATTGGCTTTACGAAGAACTTGTTGACAATGCTTTCAGCGGGCCCGTTCATATTAAGGTTTGCCAGCACAGGTTCCGATGCAAGCTTCACCACATTGCTACCGTACGTCGTTGGTGCTTCGTCATACCTTGTTGCACAAAAATAGAACACATCACATTACTGCACCCAAAGAGTGTTTTACGTTTAGTTTTAGTAAGAGTTTTAGTAAGAATTTTACGGCAATTGAGACACAGACAGGTCATATAAGTGCCAAAGATTAGAGGTGTTACTGGAAAGTAACGTAAATTGAAAAGAAGGAGGGGATATAGGACAACTTTTATTGATGTTTGATTGACAAGGAAAAAGGAGCAAACCATAAAGAGTTTTTCAATGTAAAAGAGAGTAACAAGCTTAAAAAAGAAAAAGGGGAGATAAGGATGATAGATGATTGACAGAAAAGAAGAAGCAAACCACACCAGAGCTCCCGCCAACCACCCACGACAACGTACTTTGCACGACTCATAGGTCCACACGCTCTGGTTCCTGTCCCAGACCCTGCAGCTGTCTGTATACTCAAGCAACTTGTACTCATCTACGCCCTCTGCAACATGCACCACCACAGAATCAAGAAAAGAAACAGAAGGTGCAATGTTGCTTCTCTCTGCAACATGCACTATCATAGAATTAAGAAAAGAAACTGAAGGCACAAAATCGCTTCCATCTGCAACATGCACTATCATAGAATTAAGAAAAAGAACTGAGGGTGCAATGTTGCTTCTCTCTGCAACATGCCCAATCGCAGAATTAGGAGACTAACATGAGACAAACAAAACTTTTAAAGGAAAATACGTTTTTACAAAATACGTGAATTTCACACAAACCGAAAATAGCCGATCAAATTGGCCGCCTTGTTCCCTATGTCTACATAGACAAGAATGGCCTCAGAGTCTTTCTTCAGCTGGAACTTGTGATGACATAATCCTTCTTCTCCTTGCCTCGTCTTATTCACACTAAATATTCTGAGGACAGAGAAGACAATTGTTTTCATTTAGTTTTGGTTTTAGTAGAGGTTTTATGGCGCTCGCAACTGCATAAGGTCATATGAGCGTCAGATGATTAGAGGTGTTACAAAAGAGTAACAAACATAAAAAAGAAGAAGGGGAAATTATAAGGACGATAGATGTTTGATAGGAAAGAAGAAGCAAACCACACCAGAGCACCCGCCAACCACCCACATTGATTTCATGACATGGTGATATCAGGCGCTCATCAATTTTTGTGCCTAAGGAGCTACTCATTTTATCTTAAAGCTTGTTCACTCGTCTTGCTTTTGATTAAATTAAATTCATTTACGTTGAATAGAATTTGTGAGATATATTAAAATTTGCTATTGAAGGTGGTGAGGAGTCACCTAGTGTTAGAGGTAAAATTAGCGAGAAAATGGTCGCCAAAGTTTAGTGACTTCAAAAGCTGAAGTGTCCTTGGAAACTGCAAATTTCTATTTTTAGTGCATTTCATCATCAATTTTCAGTAGAATCCACAACAGAATTTAATTTCAAATGGACATAAAAGGTGTTGAGTAAAAAAAAAATTAAAATTAAGAAAAATTGCCAGAGGAGCAGAAAAATTTTGGTTCCTTCGATTTCAAAATTTCTACAAACACTTGATTTCACTGCAAGGCAACAGAATTTTTCTAGACACTTCAAGTTAGAAGTTGACATTACAAAACATTTCCAATTTGTGAGAAAATCATTGCGGGAAGAAGGAGAAGAGTAAGGAAACAACTGAGATATGAGACTTGGGCTTTCTTGTAATATGTGAGGCAGCCAGGTGGAATCAGGCTCTCGTCAATTTTTGGGCGTGTAGAGTTTTAAAAATTGGTATCATCTTAAAGCTGGTTCACTTGTCTTTATTTGGATGAAAAAAATTTCCATTTATCTAGAATACAAGTCGAGATGTTTTCGAAAGAAGGAGGTTGAGGTCATCTGTTTTCAGAGGTAAAATTATTGAGAAAATGGCCGCCAAAGATTAGTTATTTCCTTAGCTTAAGAGTTCGTGGTAACTGAAAATTTACTTTTTTTGTGCCTTTAATCAAAGTTTTTCAGAAAAATTTCCACAGAAATGAGTTTTTAATAGGCATGAAAGGTGTTGAGCCAAAAAACAAAACATCGATAAAAATTTATAAACCTGCGGAAAAATGCAAGTTTCTTCACTTTGATTATTTTGACGAGAGCCTGATTCCACCACGCTGCCTCACATATTGTTCGGTTTGTGGGTACACACAGATTTAGAGAGAGTGAAGAAATGCATGCTTGTGAAAGGGCTCTTCGTTTTATTTTTGTCTTCTAGTACACTGTAACCGAAAAGTGACTACTGAGTAAAGGAAAGGTGCTGTCTAAATCCTGATACGTTACCTAACAGTTTTAACAGAAGTAGGCTATTATGTAATGTACATTATTTCACATTCTTATGTCTCAGGTCGTAACTAAGAGTACCTCATTAGCTGGGATAAGATCAATCGATAGATCAATCAGTCGATCTATCGAGCGGTCTGTCTGTCTGTCTGTCTGTCTGTCTGTCTGTCTGTCTGTCTGTCTGTCTGTCTGCCTGTCTGTCCGTCTGTCCGTCCATCTGTCTGTCTGTCTGAACATGTGTCTGTGCGTCTCACTTGCAGTCTCTTTATGTCTCCCTCTCTGTCTCTCTGTTTTTCTGTCTCTCTCTGTCTCTCTCTGTCTCTCCCTGTCTTTCTTTGTCTTTTTCTCTGTTTCTGTCTCTCTCTATTCCTCCGTCTATTTTTCTCCCTTTCTCTTTGTCTCTGTGTGTGCCTCTCTCCTCCTCTCTCTCTCTCTCTCTCTCTCTCTCTCTCTCTCTCTCTCTCTCTCTCTCTCTCTCTCTCTCTCTCTCTCACTCACTCTCACCCTATAGAATCCTTTGATATGGGCCTCGTGATGTTGAATGTGAGTTCCTTGCCCGGTGAGCGAAGGTGTCCCTCCTCATCTTCTACCCGTAAAGAGAGCACAGGAGGCGATATATCACGGCTGCTATCATCATCGCCATATGTGTAAGGGTTCTTCCTTACTTCACTCACCTGAGGAAAGAGTTGAATATAGTCGTATCTGCTCTAAACATCCCCCCACTTCAGACAATCACCCATACAAACAGCCATTTCCCACTTCTTCCCTTCCATATATTTTACATTACAATGCGATGTCAGTGGCCTAGTGGTTAGGCTCTCATACTCATAACTATAAGGTCTTGGGTTTGAATCCCATCAGGGACTCGATGCTGTGTCCTTAAGAAAGGCACTTTACACGAATATTTCTCACTTCAGCTCAGGGGAAATGGGTGCCCGAAAGAATTTGATAGTTTGTTAGTGTTTGAGTGCATGCAATCTGCAGCTTGCACTGTATGCTTTTGGGGAAGCCAAGAATGTTTCTGGGTCTTTTAAACAACTGTTGAAAAAGCCCTGCTCCCAATTTTAAGGCTCAGTCTTGAGTTAATTTGTATCAATTTATCGTAAATTTCAAGATGAAATATACTCATGTAGTAAATTAGATAGATAATATCATGGTGCCAGTCATTTTAACACTTATATCACATTACTGCAGCTTTGTAATAAATACAGGCTTTAACCCTTTTGTAACACAGGGTCAGTTTGTGCTTCACTGGGCACAGTTTTGGATCCACAGGGACAAGGAGTAGCACTAGATTTAGTAGTCAGTTGCCTATAATGAGACCTGGTTTGCAAATACTACTATCTCTAAAAGGTAACAATTTCTTTGAACGTAAAAAAAATCGCAGAATACAAATCAGCTGATTGATTGATTGATTGATTGGGTAGATGTTTTACGGCACTATCGACACAATTTTGGTCATTTAAGCGCCAACAGGTTTCACCGCTACAAAATCTGCGAATAGTGTCACAAAACACTTCTAATAGAAGCAGTATGCAGAATACATCCTATGATGAATGGCATTCATCGTCATGGTCCTCATGCTTTGCAAGGAATGACAAACGCTGTTCATCACAGCAACATCTTGGTGCCTTCGCTGTATCAGAAAAAAAAAAAAAATGACAAACAGCGTACGTCATATATAGATCACAAAGGGATCAACATGGAACCAAGAAGAGAGAAATGTGAGGCAGCGTGGTGGAATCAGGCTCTCGTCAAAATAATCGAAGTGAAGAAACTTGCATTTTTCCGCAGGTTTGTGGATTTTTATCAAATTTTTTTTTTTTGGCTCAACACCTTTCAGGCCCATTAAAGAACTCATTTCTTTTTGAATTTTTCTGAGAAAAGTTGATTAAAGGAACAAAAAAAGTAAATTTTCGGTTACCGTGGACTCTTAAGCTAAGGAAATCCAATCTTTGTCGGCCATTTTCTCACTAATTTTTCCTCTGAAAACAGGTGACCCCCACCTCCTTCATTCTCAAATATCTCGACTTGTATTCAAGATAAATGGACATTTTTTTTTTCATCAAAATAAAGACAAGTGAACAAGCTTTAAGATGATACCAATAACTGTACATGCCCAAAAATTGACGAGAGCCTGATTCCACCACGCAGCTTCACAAATCATACCTTAACATTCAAATTCCGATTGTCACTCTCCGACTGGTTGAAGTCAGACTTGAAGACAATGGAGCAATCTCGACCATCAAGGAGGAGACCTGCGACAGCACGAGCACTGATCTTAGCAGTGGCCAATGCGATGTCTCTTTTTAACACTTTCTTGATACGTTGGCCCATCACTTCACTTCTGAGCATCACCTCCCACAGATGAGAAATTATGTTCTCTACCTTCGGCACCATTGTTTGGGCCTGTATGAAAGAAGAAATAAGACATCCCAACATGTTATATTCTACATGTGTGTGTTTTTGTGTGCGTGTGTGCAAGTGTGTGTGTATGTGTGTGTGTGTGTGTGTGTGTGTGTGTGTGTGTGTATCTGTGTGTGTACACATGGTAAAACACCAAACAAAAGTGCCAGGATCTGGACAATAAAGATGTATCTTATCTTATCTGTCACCATAAAGAGATGGGGACTATAAGCATAGAGAATTTGGGATGAATCCTGAAGAGGGGGGGAGAGCAGAGATGGACATGTTCCGGCTTTAGAGACCCCAACACTGTGGACAAGGTGTGACAAGGTGTGACCATAAAGTAAAATGTGAAATGGTATAGGTTTTAATGCCCCATCAACACTATTAGATTTTTCAACTCCTTATCTCCAACAAGCCGCTCCCAGCAGCTTGCAGTTGGAACTGTTGCACCCGTGAGCCACTGACAACGGCTGGAGTACATTCCTTTACCACGACTTTGTCGTCAAATTACTTTTCAACAATTACTAAAAACAGGTCTCTTTTACCAAGAGTTCATTCATGTTGTTGTTGTTAGCGATCCAGTAGCATCTGAGCGTTAACTCTTCTACATGATGCCATTCGGTAATAGTTGCATGTTTGTTCTAATTGTTGTCTTGAGGAGTAGAGGCAATTAGATGTGTGGGGTAGCTTGGGAAGAAAACATCCCCTTAAATCGGTTAGTTTTCTACAGAAGAACAGATGATGTTCCACTGTCTCTGAGGGGTAGTCACATAGTGGGCAGGCAGCAGACTGCTTTACTCCAATTCGGTTGAGATGTTGGTTGAGGGGTACATTCTTTAGATGAAAAACTATCAAAATAGGTTCACTTGTTTTAATTTAATGACTAATTTAGTGACGTACCAGTTACTTTTAGATTTCACACTAAATGCTCTGGCATTGTGGGTTTACCGCCCTCAGAGATAAAGAGATAAGAGGTGGGAGGGACCTCTGAGTTAGGCATTCATCTCCAAGAGGACCATCATCAAAAAGTGCCAGATCTAAAACAGACATCAGCGATCATGGTTCTCCATTCATCTCTCCACTCAGATGCTCTTTTAAAAAAAAAAAACTATACTATTATCCTAGAGTTTTTCCTTCACCCATCTGTTCAAGTTTTCTAAAAAAGTTTATCTGGGTCGAACCATGCCTAGTTTTCTTTTATTTTTTCCAGTGGGAGGTTTTTTTTGTTTTTTTTAAGTGGTTTGTTTTAATAAGAGTTTTACAGCACTTGCAACACAATAAGGTCATATAAGTGCCCGAGATTAGAGGTTGTTACAAGAAAGCAACAAACACAAAAAAGAAGGAGGGGAGATAAAGACGATAGATGTTTTACAGGAAAGAAGGAGAAAATCACGCTAGAGCACCCACCAACCACCCGCTTCTAGTCGGAGTAAGATGTTCAAAGTCTTGAAGTCAATTCAAGTATCCAAGAAACTGCCTTTATCTCTTATTAATTCTTTTTCTCAGTGAGTGGCCCACATGGATTTCTTTCAACTTCCTAGTTTGATTTCTTTTCAGACAGACAGACAGACAGACAGACAGACAGACAGACAGACAGACAACAAATAGAGAGAGAGAGATCAATAAGATATTGAGAGACAGAAAGAGAGAGATAGAGAAAGAGAGAGAGAGAGACTCTGAGAGAGAGGGAGGGCAAAAGAGAAAGAGAGAGAAACAAACACACACTCACAACAAGAGATAGGTAAAGATAGAAAGAGAGAGAGGGGGGGGAGAGAGAGAGAGAGAGAGAGACGGAGAGAGAGAGAGAG